CCCCTGCAGGTCCCGGCTCCTGACATTCGCTGTGGTTCCAGTCCCCGGCACTGAAGGCTGGGTTCAGAGATTCCCAGCTGCACTCACAGAATAGTGATTTTTTTTTCCCCTCCCTGAATTCTTTAGCTGCCAAAGAGGGGGAAAAAAGCAAGAGCTGCTCTTAAAAGAAGTTGCCCTTGCTGGTGCTCAGGGTAAAAATAGAGGCGGCCTTTGGAACGCGCTGGCCCTGGCTCCAGGCATCCCGCGAGCTGGGCTCCGCGGCGGCCGCGTTCCGGCGTGATCCCTGGAAGCTGCCAGCAGGTGTTGCTCAAGGTACAGTAGCAGGGCCGAGGAGCCGGACGAGGGCCCGGGGTGTGGGGAAGCTCCGAGGGAGGGGGCAGGAAGTGAAAGAGAAACCAAACCGAGGAAGCCAAAGGAGGCGCTGCTGAGGAGCTGGGCTGACCAGCTCCTGCCCCAGGCCCTGAGTTCTTAAGGGAAGAGCTTCCCCCCCCAGTCCAGAATATTCCATAGAGGCTGGGTTAACTTGCCTGCTTCCCCTGCCTCCCCACCCTGATTCCCACTGAATGAGGAGGCAGTTCCTCTGCGGGGCAGCTCAGAGGTGGAGGGCTCAGGTGGAGCAGGGCGTCCCTGGTGGTGTGGGCTGATCAGGCAGGTGGGCACTCAGAGGCAGCAGACCGCCCACGTGGTCTTGGAGTTGGACGTGGCCGATGGCTCCTCCCGTTCCTGTGCTGCGGACTCCCGTGACACCAACGTTTAGGAAGAGCCACCGGCCTTCTGTGGTTTTCTGACCACTGCGTTTGACCCTGTAGTTTAGTGTTAGGGATCCCATTCCATAGATGGGAACACCGAGGCCCGAGTGAGCAGTGGGGCTGTTTTAACTTGCCTGCTTCCCCTGCCTCCCCACCCTGATTCCCACTGAATGAGGAGGCAGTTCCTCTGCGGGGCAGCTCAGAGGTGGAGGGCTCAGGTGGAGCAGGGCGTCCCTGGTGGTGTGGGCTGATCAGGCAGGTGGGCACTCAGAGGCAGCAGACCGCCCACGTGGTCTTGGAGTTGGACGTGGCCGATGGCTCCTCCCGTTCCTGTGCTGCGGACTCCCGTGACACCAAGGTTTAGGAAGAGCCACCGGCCTTCTGTGGTTTTCTGACCACTGCGTTTGACCCTGTAGTTTAGTGTTAGGGATCCCATTCCATAGATGGGAACACCGAGGCCCGAGTGAGCAGTGGGTCGGATCTGGGTGTGTTTTGTGTCCCCACACTTTGGGGGAGGTGGCGATATTTTCAGGACACGAGCTTCATGTGTGGGGGCAGGGGTTTGATGTCTGGAGATTGTTGCTCTCCAATAGTTCTCAGCAAAATGGGTAGGGAAGTTCCCTTCTGATAAAAGGTTCGAGTTCAAGGGCGGGTTTGGGGTTCACTATCACTCATCCTGTTCTGGTCTTTGCCACTCGGAACCCCTCTCTCCCTCTACAACCTAATGATTTTATTTTCTACTTCATTTCTGCATATGCAGTTCTTAGAATACTCTTCTTCCCGCCCCCACGTGCAGCTTAGCACCCACACTTTCTCTGTATCTAACCCAGAAAGACCCTTTTACACAGAAAACTCACGGTGTCCTAAAGGAACCTGCCTAAGCCACACATCGGGAGGCCAGAGCCTCTATATTTTGCTTGTGGGCACAGTGAAAAGTTTATTTTATGCATGTTAAATCCTGCATACAAAACAACATATCTGGTCATATGGCTTTCATTAGCTCCTAATTTTGCACATTTTATCCAACTTGTCATAGAACCCGGCGTAGGCTTCAGCTATACTTCTTCAAACAACCCTTCTCCACCACTCTTGTCTGAGGATTCCCTCCTCCTGTTACTACTTTCCAGGCTTACCAGCAAACCCCCGCCTCCCCAAAGTCCCTTGAAACCGTACCACTATTTCAAGGAAGGTTCATTTCTTTTCCTTAATCTCCTGTTCTATTTGTAACAATTTAGAAATCATAAGACTTGAAGTTCTCCTAAAGAATGGTGCATGAAGTTTTTTTTTCTTTTTTGAATTTGTTAGTTTGTTTTAAATTTCTTTCTTTCCTCCCTTCCTTCCTTTTTTATCTTCCTTTCTTTTGGGCTGGTTGGCATGGGATCCTAAAGACCCGAAGGGTACCCATGAAGTTCTCTTGCAGAGAATGACTGTTTCCAGAGTTCTGGGTGACAAATGATTTATGAAGCTGGCATTCAGTTTCAAGATGTAAAATAACAGTGTGAGTCAGGGGAGCGTAGAGCATCATTATGTGGCCACATATATTTTTTTCCTATTTTTTTCTCAGTGAAATAGCCTATTTAAAAAAAAAATAAAATGAGCATCTCTATAAAGAACACTACGAGTTTTCTTCCCTGGAAGAAACAATAAAATACTTTGTAAATAGGGGCAACTTCATGAAGTAACAGATGCTTTATGTCGAGACATAACACTGAACCTGAGTATAAAGAGACATGTGTTCGCAAGTAGTAAAAGAAAAGTTAAAAGCCGGACACTCATGGAGATCTCTCTGTTTGACTCCGATATTTTTCGAAAAGGTAGACTAGTCCCAGCTAGAGGTTTCACAGGCTCTGTGCATCCCCCTGTCTGTAGTGTTTCAGAGCCAGGAAGGCTTTCCATTAGATAATGAATTATGAAATGTCTCACACTGGAAAAAACAGTCATCTGCTGATGTCATACTAATTCTAACCAATTGCAAGGAAGTCCCAGCCCCCCTGTTAGCATGGTACCAACGTGTGTGTGAGTGTACAAGTAAGTTGTACAGTATAAAACTTCCCAGTGCCAATAGCATGAAGAGGAACTCAGACAGCTCCTACACCACATGATACAAGAGCCGGCTGCTGTCAGAGAGGGAACCGGAAAGGTAATGTCTTTTAACTCTTACTTATGAGCGCTTGACACATTCAAAGTCAGAATGACTAGAAGGAATTTTACAACTTATTGGCACTTCCATGCACATGGTGGTTTGTACCTTTTTATATTATGCAGGCAGGTTAAGACAGCTTCTAATCGTCCTAGGGCATGCAAATAGATGATGAGTTGATACAACCCACTCTGCACATATATACAAGTACACATGCCAAAGAGAAAGCTATTTTTAAGAGTTAGAGTCGCAAACAGTAAATTCAGGGAACACACACATACTCACACGCAGAGAGAATCCAAATATTGATAAGTTGCACTTATCTAAATGGTACTACTAGGATTCTAGAGTTGTTTGGAGTCATTAAACTTTGAGTTGTATTTCAGACTCTCTTGTAAAACTTAATTGGACTACAAAATGCTTTGAGTACTGTGTATGCAACTCCAACTAGGTGGATGATAAGTTCTGTAGTGGAAAGCTGTTTTATTAAACTATTATAACACAAATGCTCCCACTTCCCCCACTCATTCACCATCCCCCCACTAGGAAAAAAAAGAGGCTTTTAAGGCACTATTGACAAAGTTTTAATAAAATAGCAGGGTAATTGATGATCCTAAAGTTAAAACCCCAAAGGTGTTGGGAGGATTGTAACAGAGAAAAGTCTTGCAAGGAGTGGTTTTGGAAGAGGGGGCAATGTGTGCAATTCAGAGACGCATCGTTACCTGTGCAAACTGCAATTGCAACTTGGTGTCGCAGTTTTCTCCTCTGTTCCCTTGCACTCAGACCTTAGGCCAGTAGAAATGATATTTATTAACTCTTGCCATCCAGACTGCATTGCATGGCTGTAATACTCTGAACACGCTAGATGTCAGATAGAAGCTTGATTGTAGCTTCGGAAACCAAGAGGGCTTATGTGTGGGAAAGAAACCCAGAGGGAAGGAAAGCTGTAACAGATGGACCCCTTAAAGATACTTCTGCAAGATAAAAGCAATAAGACAGAAAATGAAAAAAAGGGGGGAGGGGGAGAGAACTTAAAAAAAAAAGAAAGAGAACGTCAGAAAGGCATTGTTTTAAAATTCACATTTTTCTTTTCTTTTCTTCTTCTTTTTTTTTTTTTTTTGTGAACAGTAAAATCCATGGTGATTTCTTCTGTGCTGTTCCTTTGAGGGAAATAAATGATCAAGGAGCCCTTCTATGAATGCACTGGTCTGGACAGGTTAGGGGGCAAGCTGAAAAAACTATCACGTGACAGAGGAAACTACTTTGCCAATATATTTTAGAGATTCTTTTCTCATAGGGCCAGTTATTCAAGTCATAAGAGTGCACTCTTTTCATAAAAGAATGTGGGAAAGGCCAAATGAATTTTGCATTTTAGCTGTGAAGTCTGGGCAAATGGTAGTAGGCTGAAATCTCTGTGTGTCCAGAGTGAAAGAGGGGGAGGCAAAAGAGGAGAGGCAGTGAAGGCTTTCCTAGCACTGGGGGGTACAGTACGAAAATGCTGCCTGCCCTTTGGATATTTCAGTGACTGCTGCGTCTTGCAGTTGGGAAAAGTAGAATGTATTATCGGACCCCAAGCAAAAGTTCGGTTGCACTCCCCTCAGGTGGCCTGCCCCTGTGGACCGCCCTGACATTTAAATATAAAGGAAAGGGGAAAGGGGCCATCTCTGGGGGTCCCACCAGGCCAGAGCAATCTGCTGGCCCCTGGAGTTCCCTGGCCCCAGCCCTCAGCTCTGACCTCCCCCACCTGTCAGAAGGGCCTCCCAGAGGCACCCTGAGCCCCACCTCACGGCAGGTGGTCCTTTAGTCACCTGGAGTCGGTGGTTAGGTCACGGGGGTGTTCCGGGGGGGTGGTGGGGCCAGATTTTTTTCCATCAAGTTGTTTCTGTTGACTGAAGCTGTGCATTGGTTTGGGGGATTTCCTCTTCCTCCAAAAAGGAGGAGGAGGGTGAAGGAAGACGACTGCTGCTGAGAGAAGGGGGGAAAAGTGAACAAAATTGGGAGAATTTCTTTTAGAAGGGAGCGTAGAACCCGGAGAATGGTGGTGTTTGAAGAGAGGTGTGTGTGAGGGAGCAAGGAGCCGAAGAAAGCAGCCTGTCAGAAACGGGCTGTCCCTCCCCTCCCTGATCACAGCCCTTACTCACAGGCAAACTCCCCCCTCTCCCATTCACTCACTCACTTAGGGCCAATCCGTTCTCTCTCTCTCCCTCTCTCTCTCCCCCCTCTCCCTCTCTCTCTGTCCCCCCTTTCCCTCTCTCTTTTCTCCCCCTCTCTCCCTGTCTCTCTCTCCCTCCCATCCTCTCTGTCTCTGTCTGTCTCCCCCCACCCTGTCTCTCCCTCCCTCTCTCCCTCCCTCTCTCCCTCCCTCCCTCCTTCCTTCTCTCTTACTCGGAGACAGTCAGAACTCTCCTCCCTGACAGCCACAAACCTACAGCCCTGACTGCATTCAGAGAGGGAACCTGCGAACCAAACTTCACAGAAAACTTTTTGTTCTTGTTCCAGAGAATTTGCTGAAGAGGAGAAGGAAAAAAAAAAGCCCCAAAAACCTGTGCGTGGGGGGGGAGGAGAAGCAGGGCCTTTTAAAAAGGCAATCACAACAACTTTTGCTGCCAGGATGCCCTTGCTTTGGCTCAGAGGATTTCTGTTGGCAAGTTGCTGGATTATAGTGAGGAGTTCCCCCACCCCAGGATCCGAGGGGCACAGCGCGGCCCCCGACTGCCCGTCCTGCGCACTGGCCACGCTCCCAAAGGACGCACCCAACTCGCAGCCAGAGATGGTGGAGGCCGTCAAGAAGCACATTTTAAACATGCTGCACTTGAAGAAGAGACCCGATGTCACCCAGCCGGTGCCCAAGGCGGCGCTTCTGAACGCGATCAGAAAGCTTCATGTGGGCAAGGTGGGGGAGAACGGGTTTGTGGAGATCGAGGATGACATTGGGAGGAGGGCAGAAATGAATGAACTTCTGGAGCAGACCTCAGAGATCATCACGTTCGCGGAGTCAGGTTAGTGCTGGCGGTCGGCGGAGGGGCGCGGGGGAGGGGGCAGACGTTTCTTTGACAGTCCCGGGAGGAACTTCTTTTCCCTCCAGCTGAAGCTGCCTGGGAAGGCTATTAGTTATTAGGGGACGGTAGCGGACGGAGGGGAGGCAGGCGGGGCAGAGGACGCCACAGAAATGGCTCGCTCGCTCGGTGAGCTCTGCCTGGAGGGGACTCGCTTACACTTGCTCAAGTCCGCCGGCGACACCGCGAGGAAGCTCCGGGGCCAATCGGAGATGGCAGACCGGCAACGAGAGGGTCA